ATGGCTGCGCCGATGCAGTCTTTGAATCGATGCGGTACTCAATGCAACTGCGCAAGTGCAGTCCAGAATCGGCACAATACTCGATATGGCTGCGCTGATGCAGTCTTTGAATCGATACGGTACTGAATGCAACTGCGCAAGTGCAGTCTAGAATCGGCTCAATACTCGATATGGCTGCGCAGATGCAGTCTTTGAATCGATGCGGTACGCAATGCAACTGCGCAAGTGCAGTCCAGAATCGGCACAATACTCGATATGGCTGTGCAGATGCAGTCTCTGAATCGACTTTGTCATAGGTCGTGTGTCGTGTCTGGGGATGCCACGGGCCAAGGACTGCAGGCTGGGAGCGCAGTGTCGCACTGATTTTCAGTGCGCGCACAGTCGCATTGTATTGAAACTTTATCTGTGTTTACCAGGTACCGGTAGCGCAATGTCACACTCATGTTTACGTGCACACAGTCGCATTTTAGTGTGCTGAGTCATTATTCTCTGTCTGGGTGCTTCTCAGCATGGTTAATCAAAATACTCAACTTGAGTGCGTCTAGGAATAGCAAAATTGACGTACTCAGTTTGAGTGCCTCTCGGCACAGCAGAATCGATGTACTCAGTCTAGGTGCCCCTTGGCACAGCAGAATCAGTGTACTTAATCCGAGTGCCCCTTGGCACAGCAAAACTGGTGTACTCAATCTGAGTGCCCCTTGGCACACCGCACACGGGTATACGGCGGTCCTCGGCTTCTCTGGCACAGCGTGCTCAGGCTAATAGCAACCCTTCGGGCCTCGGCTCTCTAGTGCGGCGCGCTCAGGCATACAACACCCCTTTCGCTCTCTGGCGTAGTGTGCTTAGGCATACAACAACTCTGATGCAGTAATGATGCACACCGAAGATTGCAAGGGTGTGATCATAAAATAAAATGAAATAAAAATTAAAATGGGGGTCTATCCATAAGTGATCGGCCTGACTACGAGGGATGACAGAAGCGAGCAAGGAGAGGGAGGAAGAAGAGAGGAAGGGAAAGGAGCAGAAAGAGAGATAGGAGGGGAGGCAAAGGAAAGGGGCTAT